AATGTTGAATGCTTTGGAGAAGTGAAGGTATTAATGTATTAAATTATCCAAGGCCACATGTGCGTGTATGTGGAAAACCAAGGTCTCAGATCAGTGGGATTGATCACAGGAAAATGTACTGTTTGGTTCAACCACCAATTCTCCATCCATCTGGAAGTGCTACTCACCCACAAACATTCTCAAAGCTCTGCACTTTCTGCAGTGAGCCCACCTCTTCCTTAATTCTAGGGTAGGCACTACTAACATTGCATTCCTCTGATGTTAAGTTCAAAGGCTGCTCCTTTAATATTTACATTCCTCTGATGTTACCTGCAAAGGCTTCTCCTTTGTAGCAAATAAAATAATTTGACAATTTTAATATTATCTTTCTTTAGGATTTAAAAATTACATTTTCATCAAATTACCCCCAGGTTCCAGTTCTTATGATACCTATTACCTCTAATGTCTTGCTCATTTTCCCCAGTGATCAATATTGTAGAGAAGGGAAAAGTTGATGAGGGAAATGGAACTTTGGAATGATGTTCAAATTATGTAATGTTTAAAAGGTCAATCACAGAGGATGATTCATCCCTAAGATGTCTCACACCATTAAAAAAAAGTAAAACAACAACAATAACAAAAACAAACGAAACAATGAAAAAAGGATGTCTTGGGTTCGAGACATATTCTTCAAGTTTTTAATGAACATATGCATAATAATTCACACATTCCTGTGACTTCTGCAGTGTAACATAATTAGAACCAAGAAACTCTCATATATGCACAATATTTCTGTATCTGTGGGCTCTTAGCTTGTCTCTTTTGACTGTCATTTTTGATTAACCTGCTTACTTGGGCCCACTGCATCCTAATATTGCTACCCAGCATCTACAGAAAGGATTCTATGCAAAGGAAGTACCATTACCATTATACATATTTCCTATTAATTATTAAGAAAACAAGAAGTACTTTTGCTTGTTCTCAGTATGAACATATTTTAGTTGTCACTTTCTCCTGATAGTGGGTGGTAATTATTTTATGACACTGATCTTACTGGAGGTGTTGAGAAAATGATTGGCAGTTATCAACATGACCTACAGACACCAATTCAATATTACCATTCTATGTATCTGTGTACAACAATTAGTGACTATATGGTGTCATGTGTTCTTTGGAGTCTCAGTGATTCTGGAAAACATAACACCTATTCTCTGGCTGTGGCCTGCAACAAGAAATAGTTTTAGATAACTTCTACAAACTGTTTTTGACATGGTCAGGTAAGCTGCTACTATTAGTGTGATGTTAAAACCTATATGATCAGGCTGGAGAAGTGGCTCAGAGATTAAGAGCACTGACTTTTCTTTCAGAGGTCCTGAGTTCAATTCCCAGCAACCACATGATGGCTCACAACAATCTGTAATGAGATCTGGGCCCTCTTCTGGCCTGCAGTCATACAGACAGACAGAACACTGTATACTAAATAAATAAATCTTTAACATTTACATATATATGTGTGTGTATAATTTAAATGGTCAAAATAAATTGAAATATATATATAGACAGTTCAATACATCTGTCACATCAAGTTTTCGGTAATTTGGTGGTGTTTTGCCTTTGTTTGGGGTGCTATTAAGTCTGTCTATAGGCAAAGAATTCAGTTTGTATAATTTTAATGATTCCCCACTTAATCAGTCTTATTGTCAGGTCACAGTGATCTATACTGGAGAGCAAGCTCTCCAGGTAAATTTGAGAAGACTACTTTATGTTTTCTATGCTTTGAAAATAGAGAGAAATAGAGAGGCCTATAGATCTCAATTTGATTTGGATTTTATAACATCAGCTGATCTCTATTCACAACCTGCTCATTTATTTTGTTTTCAGTGGAAGGTGCTCTTTATAACCATTAGTGAAACTAATTTCAGAGACACTTCTCAGTTTTGCTTTGTTCCTTTTAAGTCATCTATTTCTGTTGCTATTCTGTATTTGTTCAGGCATCATCCCTCTGCTTTCCTTTATCTCTGTGTATAATGCTCCATTTAGCTTTTTTACGTACATAAGCAGGAACACATAAACTTGTGTTTATCCAGTGGGTTAATGTTTAGTCTTCCTGAGGGGAATAATATTTGACTTAATTTTTCCATCTGTAACATTCATACTTACTGTTTCTCTCTAGTTTGATAATTTGATTCCTTCATAGCTGGGTATTATAAATTTCACCATGTGACAACTGAAATTGTACTATTGCTCTTGTCTGTGTCTGTTGCTGTACTGCTCTCTGTATGCAGGTGTATTTGCTTATGTAAAGGCTGTGCTCTGTCATGTGGACTGTCGAATGACTGACTACATGGGGTTTTGTTCTTTTTGTCTTTTTTTACACATTGTACCCCACATGCTTGCTAGCTCTTCCAGAAGAGCTCTCTAAGTGGCATCATTAGTTGTCCAACTAGATGTTTGAAGAGCTCTTCTCTCAATTGCTGGTTTGGCTGGGGGTTTGTAGGTCAGCAAGGGAGGGCAGAGTTTAAAGCCTTCTCAAGATTTTTCTGTGTGTACACACAGCACATGTCTTGCAGTTGTTCTAGACTCCAAGGGACATGGTGAAGTTTTTACATCCCAATGGATACTTTTTTCCCTACCTTTCAAGATTTTTACTTATTTAAGAATTTCCTTAAATGTTCCCCACTACATTAGGCAGCCATGAAGGCAAAGTATTTGCCATAAGTGTTTTGACAGATGCCTATGGGAGAAGCCATTGTACCTTTGGTGACATGAGAGGTTCTTTTCTGGTAGTGCTTCTGGGAACCCTCAGAAATGAACAATTTTAGCAAGTGAGGCACTGAGAGATCTCCTGTTTTATTCTGCCCAACAGGATGGCTGATGAGCTATAGGGAGGAGTCAGGATTCCACTGTGGGCTGTGGACTTCAGGAGTAAAAGCAGCACAAAAATGCACTGCTATTATCATGGTTTAGCTGCTTGGCTTGTACAGTCAATGGGAAATGGGGAACCTTGGTTAATTTTCAGTTCCAGTGAGGTTGATTAGGGCTTTCTTTGTCATTCCTTTCCCTTCTTTTTGTTAGTTTCTTTCTTATTTTTCCTCCCATCCCTTACTGTTTTGGGGGGAGCATACTAGTCAGCTTTGTGTCACTATTATTAAAAAAATAAAAACCAAAAAACCCTGAGACAGGCTACTTATTTTAAATGCAGTTTGTTACACCACAGTTACAGGGGTTCAAGTCCAAGATCGCAGGCCACATTGCTTCAGGCCCCTAGTATGAATGGCAGATGGAAACTGCCAATCAGAATGAGTGACAGAGCAAAGACAAACCAGGGTACCTGAGTCTCCTCCCTGGGCATGTGGACCTACGGACTCCACCGGGCCACTTAGGTACATAGCAGCTGCAGCACCACTGCTCTAGACATTAAGGCTTTGCATTGTGGCCCTTTGGGGACAGTCATCCAACGACAGGGAGGGGTAAGTCTTTGAAGACCTTACTGGACTGTCTTTCCTAATTTCATCCATAAGAGACTGAATCGTTCATCTAAACTTTCAACTCAACATGAGGCCTCAATCAGAATTATAACTTCATATTATTGAGATAACAAATATAAATTAAAAACATCTAAAATACACACATTTCATGGAAATTTTATTTTGTTCTTACTCGAAATTTAATTTTGAATGTTTTCTCTTTATCCCATTTCAAAGAAAGACTAAAATTCATCTCCCTATTGTTACTCTGGAAGACCAGCAGTTAAACAGGTAAATCTATTTAAAGAATTATCAAACTCTATGATTTAAAGAAGGGCTTCTCTTTAGTTATCAATTCTGCATGCTCAAATTATATCCCTAGGTGTTGTTTCTGTCAATCCATCAATGTTTTTCAGTCTCTTTTGTAGAAAATCTTGACAAGACCACCATGAGTACTAATGGCTCAATGTGCCAGAGGACTGACTGAGTAGCAATAATCCTACTGGTTTCCACCCACAGCCACCAGCTTTCCTGGTAAAATAGCTGTGGCTGATGCTGGGTAGCTCTTTTAGAAGCATTTATTTCTTCCTCTTCTGTGTATTTTAATTCTGCTTTTGATACTTTTGTACCTGCATATCCCCCTTTTAATCTGGGTCATTTACCTCTCACCTTTGTATTTACAGTACAAATGGACATATTTCATAATTTTCTTCAATTAGTGGATCAAACTTTCATGTTTCCTGTTATTTATAACAAGATGACTATAGGCTTAAAAAGATTTACATTCATAAGAACTGAAAAAAAATAATTTAATGGATAGATATCTGCATTTGACCTGAGTTTTATACATTACTCTAAAGACCAAAGCCTCAAACAGAACTATGGGGGCAAATTTTAGTAAAACTACTTCTAAGTATGGCAGTGTAAAATTGTCTGGAATCTTCCTAATATGGTTCATAGAAGTACACAGGTTAGAGGCAGAGCCATAGATTGGGACTAGAATATAATACTCCTCTCTCCTGGGGTCATTTCAAAGCCAGCAATTCCTAGTTCAGAGATGCTGGCCTCTCCCATGAACCTGTCACTCCAGAGCCCATCAGTCATGCAAATCAGAAACATCTACATTTTATCAACATAACCTAAGAACAGTTTTGTCAAATCTCTTCACTATTGTATTTGGTGCAAATGGTAACCTGCACAGAGATGGATTAGCACAAATGCTGCTTTCCGAGTAGAAGTGGGCTCTGGGTAGCCATATCACGTTCCTGGGCTGATATTCCACGAGCTTCAACAAAGCCTATATTTCCTTTGATTTTGAAAAAAAACATCACTGAAGAATGCTGTAAAGTTGATCTGTATCCTTTTTGTTTTTATGAAGGCAATATTGTCTGTTCTGTATCATTTTACTGAGACAGGAAGAAAGAAGGGGATTTCTATCTACTTTTATATATGTGACTTTCAATAGGGAAAGCCTTGTTATTAAAGAGCTTATTATGATATTGAGGAGATTCATTCACAGACTTTTAACAGGATAAAATGTTGGCAGATACAAACCGACAAGGATGGAGTAGAGGATACCAGGTCGATCAGATGGTGGCTGGATGTTTCGGTCCTGATCAATGGCTTGGATAGGTGGGGTCACCAAAATGGGGTTCAGTTCTTCCTGGAAGAAAATTCATAGTGTTTAGCTGTGCTGCACACTCACACTTCAGGGAAAGCTGGAAGCAGAATGCTTGATGGAATCTGGACAGCTAGATATGCACCGAGCAGGCACGGAAGCGCAACTTCCTGGACGTATAATTTGACACTTTTCCTGTTAATTCTAAATCTGAGGAGGAACTGAGCCTCCCTCTAAGACAAAATGAAAACATGTAGTAGTTATGTGCACAGAACTTTATCTAAGGGATTTGTCCAGGAGGAAGTTAGGGGTGAAAAACTACAACATTAAGCTGCCTAGAGGACTCAAGTGAAATGTAAAGACATCAAACGGAGCCTTGTGTGTACTCTCTCTATTTTAGAAAAGATTCATGACTCTATATTCTTTCGTTCTTAAATTATTTATTTTGTTCAGATAATTACAGTGAAGTTGAAAAATCAAAGCCACACCATTCAAGTGTCATGTAATTAAAATAAAGTCCATATCGCAGCTGCGTTTATTTAATAGTGGTATAAAAGATTCTGTTTAGAATGATAGTGTAGTCCTTTCAGTCGGTGTTTCTCAGTTTGATGTTCAGTGGTATCCACTGGTGTGGATTCATTGGAGCGAGGTGCATTGGTTTCTCTTTCAGAGAACCCTGCTTCAGTTTTCAAAACTCACATGGCGTCTCTCACAGTTCTCTTCAATTCCAGCTGTAGGCCCTCCAGAACCCTCTTCTACACCCCACAGATACTGTATAACATGGTCTAGCAATGTACATGCCGGCAAACATTCATATTAAACATAAACATTAAAATAAGTATATCTTTGAAAGAGGATGGGGACCAAGCAATAAGTTCAGGCTCTTGCAGTCAGAGGTTTGGGTTGCAGCCTTTCAGACATTCCATTATATTTCAGATCCGCCATTATAGTAGAAGACGTACAAGCAGACACGGTGCAGTTAAGTGAGAAAACGGTGACAGTTGACAGATACACTGAAGGGAAAACTGAAAATCCCAATTGTCAGATCAGCTTGGGAAACATTACGCTAGATAAAGTTTTTAAAAGATAGCATTTCCTGGAGGTCTCAGAAAATTGATTGTGCTGCTCTTCATGGTGACTCAAAGAAAAAGGTTATTTGTTTTATGCTTTTTACCTACACTAAGTAAGCATCCACTAATATCTCCTTGAAATAATGCTCTTCGAACATAATTTAGGAAACATTAGGGGTGAACAATGTCTCAGCCAAAATAAATAAATGGTGAGTCTAAAGAGACATCAGTATTTCCCCAGTGTCTGTGAAGTATCACATCATGCTTTTTCTGTGGTTTATTGTGAAGTGAAGGACATTGAACGATGCTGTGCACACTTAGGCAAGCCCGGTAGTTTCAATTCTCAGTGGCCGTGCCACGGTGTTGGCTTATATTTCAAATGAGTTATCATATTAACTAAGCACATGCAATATCTTTTTATTAAATAATAGGGATGAAATATAATTATTGGTCAATGGTTCGTACCTCACATACATCTCAGGGGCTGTATAATTGTTTATCCATTTTTCTAAGTGACATCACTATTTTCTTATAAATAATGAGACATTGATAGCAACAATTTTGAAACATTGTATCTCTTCTTTACAATGTAGTTTTAGAACCAAGCTTATATCACCTCACATTAAAAATTACACCATTAGATCAAAATGATTTTTTTTCTCTATCTTACATATAGAAAATCTTCTAGAATTCTCTTGCTTTCCTCCCCTCATCCCTTCCTTATTTCAATTATCCCTCTCCTGTACTTTATTTTCGGTTTCTATTTCTTTTCTTATCCCTCTGTCTCACATAGTACCTTTCAATAGTTCATGTCATGTATAATAACGTGTTTTTCCCTAAACTGAAAAATGCCAAGGTTCTATCTTTGTCAGTTGAGAGTTGAACAGCACTTTTCAGTTCAATCTGAAGAGAAATTGCGTCAGAGTTAACTCATACTTTAACTAATTTGTTTCTATTTCACTAATTAACTCTTTAGTAGCTTTCCAAAAGTGTCATTCTGGTAGACCTAGGAAGGCTGTTAAAAACTGAAGATCCTCTACAATACAATTGTGTGCCCCAAAGTGAGATATTTCAAGGGATTCTCAGAAGTCTCTGACTATTAGAAAGATAAAACTACTTTTCTCATTTATAATTTAAAAAAAAACTAGAATCTGAGCTATTCTCTTGGAGTATCAGGTAAATGATACTCTGTGGTGCCCTTTACTCTCCTTGTTTCTGCAAAGCCACCAAGATACCAAACTAGCACAAATTTTGCTTTTGTTAATTCATCAGGTAGTTTACAACCCACTATATTTACCATGTAGACTTGTTGAAACTAGCAATTGGGGATTTAGTTATGTTATTTAAAGTTATATAAACCATAGGAAGATTGAAAATAGCACAGCAAATAAAATAAGTGTAAATTAGACTCTTCATCTTATATCATTGCTTGTTAATAAGTCTCATAAAATAAAAAGTGAGCACATGAAAGAGATATGATATGATTTAGAATTACTTTACTTGACATTAGAAGAATAGACTTTGTCTAGAAGGAGGAAGTGAGATTTTATATATATTTACCTAAAGTACTTAGTTTTATTGGACTTGCTCATTATCATATATGTAATATTTTATATTATAAATGTAGTAATATGAATAAGAAAAGATAATCCCTCTGGGTAAAAAGCTTTCCTCTTTTTCTAGACTATTTAGAGAAGTGCTCATTTTAAATCTCTTGCTAGCTTATTAGAACTGATATTTTCTCTTGTTCTCCAAATGCTTATAACATATATTAATAGAATTTTTCTCATCTGGTATCATTCATGAGTTTGGCAGAAAAATCTAGGTTTATAGTTGTGATGGCTACTATTTGTTTTTAACTTGACTATATCTGGAATTAACTAACGACCCAAGCTGCTGGGTACACCTGTGAGGGATTTTTAATAAATTGTATCATTTGAAGTATGAAGAACTACCTTAAATTCAGATCACTTGAAGTCAGAAGAACTACCCTAAATCCTGGCCATGCTTTCTTTTGGAAACCTTTTTATGAAGGACACTGAAGAAGGAAGCTTGCTCTCTTTGCCTGCTTGCCCTAGATCTCTCTGAGCTAGTGTTAGTGCCTACTTCTTTGGTACTCCTATACGCCCTGAAGATCAACTGAAACATCAGACCTTGTGGACTGAGCAACTGCTGGATTCTTGGACTTTGCATCAGTAGAAAATCATCATTAGACTAAGTGGACCACAGCCTGTAGGCCACTCTAACATACCACCTCTATGTTCCTTTAGAGAACCCTAACTAACACAATAGGTTAAAAAAAAGTTCTGAATGATAAAGCAGATTACTTCTCAAACAAATCATTATCTTTAAATCTGCGAAAATTTAAACATTACAGAATACTGAGGGTTGTATTTAATTGAGTATGGTTTTGTTAAAATTAGCCTTTTATGAACAATTATCATTTCAGTTTGGAATGTGTGTGTATTCATTAGAAAGAACAGTACAAATTGCATGCCTTCTGTTTTGAGCTTATATCTACATAAAAATCTCTGCAGTAGATAAAACCAGGCTCAGGCAGAGTGCAGAGATAACTAATAAAATTTCAGAGGGATGCATTCCATGTATCAAGAATTCTTGGCTGAGAGGGCAGAGGCCCTGGTTCCAGCTCAGCTGGGAGATACTACTGTAGCCCACTGCACATTGAATGCTTAGCAAAATTAATCAGGTATTCAATGATAAACTAACCCATTAATGGGCTACATAATCCATTCTACAAAGATAGCACTCTAAGGAAAATAAAAGCAGAAATCAACAAAAGGAAATTCTAAATAGATACAAAAATAGTCAATATAATGATAACTCAAACACTTTTTTGAAAAGTTACTGATAGAGTTCTTGCATAGCATGTAGGAGATCATTGACATAATCCTAACATGGCAACTATCAGACCAGTCTCAGCTGCAGAGTGAGAATCCTGTCTGTGTGCACACTCAAATGAATACACAGACACTTAAAGAACATCCTAAGGTAATTTATTGCTTATGATATGTACAGTTACGATGTGTGGATCAAAAATAGTTCATTAAGTTCAATATGGAAATTTGAATTTTACACATTACATACAAGTATTGAATTATCACACTGCACTTCACAAAAATCTTACTGATGGCATTAATAAAAGTAAGTAGAAATATTAGTGTTTATGTATGAAAACAGTGGTGTCTTCACACATTAAAACCTGCAAAGTACCACTAGAGAGTTAGAAACAAATTAGCTGAATATTCAATTAAGGGACCTGATTTATTCTTCCCCTCACCAAGCCAGGGTTTCTCAGTGTAGCTTTGGAGTCTGTCCTGAAACTCATTCTGTAGACCAGGCTGGCCTGGAACTCACAGAGATCCATGTGCTGGGATCAAAGGTATACACTACCACCATCCAGCTAAGGGACTTGGTTTTAAAGGACAAAATAAGCTCTAAAACACAGTGTAAAATGGTTAAGGATGAACAAAATGAGGCCATATTCGTGATAACTTATATAATATGGCATTTTGGTTCAAATCACTGAGTGCCAAAAATCTTAGTGTTTGAATTTGCAGAAAATAAAATGTTTTCTTTATCATCTGTATTTCCCTTAAATTAATCTGAGATATGTATCTAAGACTTTGAATCTGGAATGTCAACCTACATAAAAAAAACAGTCAAGTGAAGATTAACTTAGGGTATGCTGACTTACTCAGGAGCATTGTAGTTACCCTTTAGCTTATAAACTTGAGTTCTTGAAAACAGAATTCTTCTTGCATGCAAAAGTCATATGGCCATATGTGGAACTAGAAAGTAGCGGGTTCAACTTCTTTTGTGGTCAACTGTTATCTTAATGAATCTTTCAGGCTGTTTATATTGGCCCATTACTCTCAGAAGACCTTTCAGTAACTACTCCCTGAAGAGTCTATTTGTGATAGCAGAGAGAATTCCTCCCAGGCTGTGAAATGCCAA